ACTTTTTGTCCATGTTAGGGACACTTGTTTAATACAGCCCTCCCCACACCAAGTAAGGCAGATCAGACCGTGACTAGCAAATTGATTCATCAGCAGTTTTCTGTTAAACATTAGAGAGGTTTCGTTCGGTGGACTGTAAATGAGAACTTTACAGGGAAGGAATGGAGAGATACAAAACACCTTCCAACTATCAATTCAATAAGATAGGGGCACTCTCAAGCTGTGGGCCACAGCACATGCCCTGATCATATGGTGTTAGCTCTTATACTGTATAAAGCACAACAATCCGTGCCCTGAGGCGGTTACAGTCTAAATCTGATCATACACTATAAACAGTATGTAATGAACTATGACAATAGCATGAAATACTGAGCAAAAGAATTGTTTTATGGTAGAATCCGATAGATGTTCTAATATATTCCCTGTTCTCTTATTATCCATAAACCTATCCTTTCCATGTATTCTAGGATTCTCTTCTCACCAGGTACCATTGTGTTGCTCCCTTGGTGTAGCAAGATGAAACTGACTAGGATCATGTTAGTTTCATGAAAATTATTTTATTTCTTGGCAAGCAGAGTATTCAGAAGCAACAACTCAGTTTAAATTCTTCAGCAGGAAAGCGATTAAGATTGCAGAATAAATATGCATACCATACCATGCATATCATAACAGCTTTAAACATCAGGAAGGGTTTGTTTGGACTATCTAGGTTACAGAGACCAAAAGCAAAGGTGAAAACATTCACCATAACATAGCTGAAGTTTCTTGATGTCAAACCCCCTTATTTAATGAAGGCTATACACTGTTGCTGGCTGTTCTATTGTATGCATAGGACAGCTGCATTGACAAATTCGGTGACTGTTCTGGCATTAATGTGCAGTGCAAATGACTTGTCAGGTTAACTTCTCTGCACACTAGTTTCCCTATCTGTAAAATAAGAAATGGATAAAGAATCCTACACAAGTACTCTGGTACTATCATTAGTCGTGATCTTCTACGTTACAGAGGAAATCACTCTTTTTGGTCAAGAAGGATATTCAGAACCAGTGCAACTCAGCCCCCCAAAGAAGCTGCTATTGAGTGACACAAAGGAAAGACACTTACCTCTGCTACAGATTGCAGGCTCCGGGCAAATTTCAGCTGGTTAACACCATGATTTACAGGTTTACCATAGGTAGCACCTTTCGGGACTGGGCGTTTACGACCACCACGACGAACACGAATGCGGTAGATAACATAACCTGTAAACACCATTTTTTAAAAACAGAGTTTCTTGGAACTACAGACTTCTGATAACCTTTCAGTCACTAATTATGCTTTTACACTTCCCCACTGGGGCTATACTTCTATGCTATCGCAAGTACTGTTTTTGTACAATAATTTTCACCCACTGCTCACCAAGTGGTACAGAATATTAAGAACTTGTCTGCACTAGAAAGTTTTGTTGTTTTGTACAGTTAAAGTGGCAAAACTCCCCAAGTAGATAGCTCCACTGGCATAGAGTATTCTGGTTTGGGAACTGAAATAACCTACGATATAAAGTACATTTATACAGGCTTTTACCTGCGTGTTACCCCCTAAATTCCCTTCCATCCCCACAAAAATGCTTCACCCAAGTTTAGTGTTTTTAACCCTGGCTAGCTGGGAGCATGGATTAGAACCCAGGTTCCACTTGGGTAGTTTGCAGCAAGGATAAAGACTATATCACTCAAGTGCTGATAGGCCTCCAGTGCCTTCCCATAATTCCCTCTGTGCCCAGAAGGACAGACAAGGTTTCCCACAATTCACCGAGAAAGAATCAGGGCTCAGTTCATTGCAGAACATAGAACTAAGAGATCTGTCCCCAGAAGTGCTGGTGACACACAGCAAAGAATGCAGCACCAGTGAAAACACAGTAACTTGACTGTGGCTGATCTATACCTGAGCTAGATTAAACCGGATGCTGAACACCCAGGCTAACTCAGCAGTGAAGATATACCCTAAGAATAAGGGGACTTCAATCTCCATATGTATTTAGGCTGTGGTTAGCGTCTCTGCTCAAAGTGCCAATGGGGGTGCCAATTAAGAGTTAACTTACTTTCTACTTGTATGTGTCCACAACTCATATGGTAACTTGGTATGATACCAAACTACTTTCACACAGGAAACAAAGTTAAACTCTCAGTGAAGAGCATGATTAAGTATGCAGCACGCTCCCATCTACACTGATTCATTAATATTCAATCATGGAAGGAGCCATCAAAAACCATTAACATTGTACCACTAAAGCATGCTGACCTCACACCCTTTTAGTTCTAGTTACCTTGTTTAGCCTTATATCCAAGTCTACGGGCTCTGTCTGGCCTGGTTGGTCGGGGAGCTCGATGTAGGGCAGACAACTGGCGATACTGCCAACAGCGGACACGCAGGAGGAAACGCATCACATCTGACTGCTTCTTCCTCCATAGCTCTTGGATGTATTTGTAAGCACCCATGTTTGTTTACCTGCTGAATTAGAGATCTGTGTGAGCTTGCAGAGTCTTTCCAACCAAAAAAATATAACATCACACAGAGAGAATAAAAAATATGCTGCCTTATGTGAACACATTTCCAAGGCTCCCTATACATATGTCAGGCATAATGACACTGTTAAAGCAGCACACATCCAGGATTCTGGAGATCTGTAACTAACCCCACACATACCGATTATCATCCTGAAGTTTCCTCTCCTTTTTATCTGTTTATGTCTTTATACCTCAAACTCTTCAGGGCAGAGACTTTTTTCCTTTGTGAACCTGTGAACCTGCTCAGCATGTTTTGGCTGCTACCACAAACTAATAATATCTGACCTGAATTTTAGTTATTGCTCTGTAAATTTAAAACTTCAGGGAAGTCATGCTGGGTCTCAGCTTCTTCACCTAACGAAAAGCTTACTTTATTGGTATCTCAAATACTTTGAGATCTTCAGGAGATCATTAAAATTCTGCAAAATATTCAAGAAGCCACTTATCCCATTCAGCATAGTTTTGCAGGTCTCACGGGAAGTCACAATGCAAATTTAATTCAGCCATGTCAAATTCAACCCTCAAAAATATCTCACCCTGCGACAGCTTGATTTATAAACAAACCCACATTTCTGGTTATCTTCCCTTCTTGTGCTAAGAGTTCTGGCTTCCCATCTACCTATATTGGGTGGTATTTGCTACACCAGTCCCTCTCTCTGCTTTCAATGCGGCGGTTTAAGAAGCCTTTGCTGATCTACAGGGTGCAAATACCTGCCTGTATACAGCAGCACAAACTAGTAAAAGTAAAGCCAAGCTGAATAACTGGACTCAGTATCTACCCCCCACCCAGGCTCCTCCTCAGTGAGGCTCCCCCACGATACAGCCCTAAGGCTTGGCTGCCCCTGGACCCTAGAGCGACACGCCCCTCCCCGCACACACATGTCAGTCAGAAGCTGTCACCCCCATCCGTTACACTCGAAGGGCTGCCCAACAGCAGCCAGCTCAGAGAGACCTAGACACCCGCTGCACCCCCTCCCCAACCCTGTCATGGCTGTTCAGAGGCCCAGCCACCCGCACCTGGCCGCCCAGTAGGGCTCCCCACTCAGCTCGCCGCGGCCTGCGCCCCAGGCACCCCCCACGCAGCGGGGAGGCCCGGCCCGACCCATCTCCTGCCGCCCGGGCCCTCGCCCGCGCACGGAGCGGAGAAGGAGGGACGGATGGGCGGCTCCCAACCTCCGATGGGGTCGGATGCAGCCAGCAGCCCAGCACGGCGCAGACACTCACCTGATGGCGCCCGAAGCCGGAAAGGAAGAGGGCTACCTCCCACCGTCCTTTGCGGCCCCCTATCGCTTCCGGCCCTAGCGCTGGGACCTGCTGGGAAACGTAGTTCTGAGGGGGCCAACGGCTCTGATTGGCCTAACCTCCTCCGCCCCGCCCCCCTCGCCACATGCCAATAAAAGGAAGGGGCGGGGCTGTGATTACAAATCGGGCTGTGGGTGGGCAGGACTCGAGGAGGCGCCCCGCTCCCAAGGTGGGAGGAGCATCTTTCTGCGCGAGCTCCCGCCGTGTTCTTGGGGCGGGCGCTGTGGGCGGAGCCCGGCCCGAGCTCTCGGAGAGGCTGGGCGGGGTGTGCGGGGCACGCGGCAGCTGCTCTGCCAGCTCAGGGTCCCCTCCCCCTCCTGCCAGGGGCGCCCCCTGTCGCTAGGCTAGTAGCCGCAGAGAAGGGCGGACCTGGGGCCTGCTCGCTGGGCTAATAGCCCCTGAGAGAGCTTCCCTCTCAGCAGCCTCCCGGCCAGCTGGCACCTGCATGCCCGCGGCGCCTTCTCTGCCCCGTCTCCGGGCCAGGGGTCCCTGCACATCCAGCCATGACAAAGTCGCAAGTCAGGGCCCCCACCCCCAGCCGAGAGTGCCCTGTACGCAGCTGTTATCGGCCCGCCGGTGTCTGAGCTTTTGGGGGGCACTGCTGCCAGCATTTCCCTGTGAACGTGAGGGCAAGATGCATGCTTGGTTTGAAACGCAGGCCCAGGCGCTCACGTGTTCCCAGGAACTGGCGTGATCAGATCTCAATATATATATATATATATATGAAACCCACAATGTGGTGGTGGGAGTTGGCAGCACCGCACAGGCCGTGTGCTTGGTGCTGTACAAACACAAAAGCAGGCACAGTCCCTGCCCGGAAGAGGCTGCAAGGCCTTGATCCTGCAACTATGTAAGCAGGTGTGTAACTCTACTTGGGTGAACGGCCCCCTGGAAGTGGAGGGAATTGCTTGCCTGAGTAAACTTAAATGTGTGTAAACGTTGGAAGGCTTGAGGCCTAAAATGTGGAGGGGGAGCAAATTGCATTGTTCTAGAAATACCAGCTGCTGGTGACCTCTTCAGATAGAGCTCTGCTTCAAAATCAACTCCATGGCTTGTTGAACTGCATAATTAAAATATACTGAAGCACTAAATGTTTCAGTGACTTTGCTGTTAATGTAATGTCTTAAATATAACAGATCCCTGTGCTTGAACAGGATTTATTTGCTGACTTTGCTATCCTGAAATAAGATGGGAAAGGGCTACAAAGTGGTGATTTGTGGAATGGCATCAGTGGGAAAAACAGCAATTTTGGAGCAGCTTCTCTATGGAAAGCATACTGTTGGTGAGATGTTTTCCATTTTTATGATATTCCAACAAGTTTTAGGGGTACCAATCCGGCCTTTATTTTTCTTGCCTTTACTGAGGTGAAGGGGGAGAATGAACATGGTGTTGGTTTTTAGCAGCGATCAGTTTTCTGGAACTCTTCTGAATACTGTTTTAAGTCTTCTATATCACCTCTTCATGGACACTTGCAAAGTAACCATAAAATTGGCTGTGTGGGTGTGTGTGCGTGTGGTGGTGGTAGTGGTGGGGTTGTTTGCTTGCTCTTCTTGCTGCTTAACATAAAAGTTTAAAAGAGGAAAAAAAGATGAAGAGTGGAGGGTGTAATGTGTTCTTTCTGCCTGTTTTTTGACACTAGAAATTCTGGTCTTCCACCTGGGAGACTATATTGATGCCTGTAGAATGAGTAGACTTATTACATCTGAGATGTAGTAGATACAGATACCTAGAATAGGAAACCTGCTAAATTGAGAGGGGAGGTGATTTCACTTTTGTAGACTGTTTAAAACGTAGTTTTAGTTGTGGTTGACACCTGTTTAGCAGAACATCTGGTAGATAGGCTGTGAATTCCATAGCACCTGGCACTCTTCAGGCTGACTTGTCTTGAGAGAGCAGACTAGAGCAGTGACTGGTTAACTTCTCCAAAAGACGTCTGGAAAGGCTTTTGAAATATTCCCTCTGTTCAGTAATGTCTCAGATGGAGGTCATCCCTGTACTTTGAGGTGCCTATGGCCCCTCTGTTTCTGCCAAAGCTTATCAGCTATGAGACAAAAGGATGGTGAGAACTTCAGTTCTGTTGAAAATGCTTCTTTTCTTTATATCTCTGCCTCCTGACCGCAAAAGGCGGCCCACCACTATGTGTACTATGTCCAGCTCCGCACATCTGCTTGGATCCTCCAGCACACAGTCCTTTGCGGGATAGAAGCCTAAAAGCTGTATGGTAAATTGTAGAAATATAGATAATAGCAAATGTGCTTTGCCAAAATCCCCTCATATACATACAATCTGAGGTGGGATTTTCAAAAATGCCCAAGGAACACAATGGGAGCATGGATCCCATTAAAGGACAATGACACTTAGGCTCCTAAGTCATTTGGACACTTCTGAAAACCCCACTTTTTTGTAATCTGTTTTGCTTATTTGCAGGTTCTTTGTGCATTGTCTAAGTTTACTATAAAGAAAAGGAGTACTTGTGGCACCTTAGAGACTAACCAATTTATTTGAGCATAAGCTTTCGTGAGCTACAGCTCACTTCATCATTCACTGTCAAATATTTATTGGACAATGGCAGTCAGTATCTGTGATCCTTACTCTTTGTATTTCTAAATTGCAAAACCATTTACACTAAACAGAATTTTACAGTGTGCCTAGTCTGCTACAGATGAAATTTGCGAGCATGTTTCTTGCATAGTGTTGATTAGCAATGTAAACAAGGATTCTTGCTCCCGACCCCCTGGACTCTCCGAGACTTAGGCTAGTTAGTAATGCTATAAATGACGTGCCTTTCCACCCCCGTAATCTTTAGCTTTGTTTTATAACAGTTGTAACAAGGCCTAAGAAAAATGTCTGTAGGCAGATTGTACGAACCAACAACTGTAAATACTCTTGGCAGCATGATTTCAACCATAGCATTGTCAGGTGGTTCTGTCCTCCTCTTTCTCTAGCTGATGCATGCAAGTCTAAGATTACTAATAATCTTCAAAGGTGGGTTATTCTAACTGGGGGAAATTCCCACTACATGAATGGCCAGCAGGAGGCCTATGTGCCACCAGAAACTGGGAATGAGCGACTGGGGATGGATCACTTGATGGTTACCTCTTCTGTACATTCTCTCTGGGGCACCTGCCACTGGCCACTGTTGAAAGACAGGATACTGGGCTAGATGGACCTTTGGTGTGACCCAGTATGACCGCTCTTAAGTTTTGAGTGGCACATGGGCCTGGTGCTACCCTTTTGCAGAGGCCTGAATTTCACCCATTGAGACTACTGGTGTGTAAATTCCTATGCCTCAGAGAAGTCCTTAAGGTCCTCCATTGTTACTTATTCTCACTCCCACTCTTAGCTCTTTCCAGCATGAAGGACTTCATTTCCACCCCTTTCTCATCAGGTAAGATGGTACAGACATATCTGTTGCTGCTTCCATTATGTTGATTGGGAGGAACGGTCACATGTACACTGACTGGAGGCAGAGAGCAGGAAGAAATGATTGTTCTCTGAAGGGATTCAATTAGCCACCTAGTTTTTAAAAATGCCCTAGCACATCCTTCTGCTACCACTTTCCTGAATCAGATCTACAACCTTATTTCGCACTCATTCTCTTTTTATTAATCAGTCCAATTTTTCCTTGTGCTGTTAGTCTTATGTCCTCATGTCAGTGTGGCTATAGTTGGAGGCAAGATCAAATAGTCTGGTCAGAGTTTGCCATGTATCTAATGGGAGCTGGATTTATGAAGACTAGAAAAGGAGGGAGGGAGTAGCGAGGAGAGCTTGTGCCACTTTTTTTCTGGAAACAAAGGTTGCATGCAGCAGCGGAAATAATCAGCACAGGTGTGGGTGGAATACTTCAGCATCTTTGTTGGCATGAAGAGTTTCAAATAGTGTTATTCAACATAGTAAAATCCTTATTTCTAAAAGTGTGTCAATATTGTCTAAAAATCGACAGAAAGCTATCCACCCTACAAGAACCAACAAGTGTATGTTTGTGGGTGTGCAATGGAGGCAGGAGATGACAAACTTTGGTAACAGAAAGTTTGTTTGAAAACTTGAAACTACTACTAAAACCACTGAGCTAGACTTGAAATTCTGAGATCTCCATCATGTCCTTAAGTTATGTAGATTCCCTGCACTCAAACATCCTTCAACCTTGCCGCTTATAGCATCATATGGCCTGAGTCTACCTGTTGGGTAGTTAGTACTTTACACAAGTAGTCCCATAGACTACACGTATTAGTCCCCTTACTCTACTTGTGGAGTAAGGTACTATTCAATATGAGGAAGGGTGACAACATTAGGGCTATAGGGACTAGATAGGTTGCTAAAGAAAACTTAATTAAGCCTTACAGTAGTAATTTCTTTAGTACTCCTTTTTCCTCCGTTATGCTGCCTGAGGGGCAAATTCTGACTCCTCCGCAGCTGGCTTTATACATAGAACAACTGGTACAGTTCTGGTGGGCAGGATTTGGGGAACCTGTGGGAAGGGCCAACTAAGTTATATCATCCTGAACTTATGCCCATCAAAATGTATTACATATATTAATGTACTGAACGTGTATGTGACATGGTCTCATTACTGTAAATAGCTAGCCTGTTGGTCTTGCTGAGAACATAATGGGATCTGAGTTCAAATCCTGGTCAAACCCATCCAAAAAAAAGTTTTTTTTTTAAATGGATTGAAATGCACTGTTGAAAGCCATGAGTATTAGTAGTTTTACTGAAGTATGAATAAATACTTACAGCATTACTTTACAGAATTTATTATAAGTTCTAACTTTTAGGGCTTTTTAAAAACAGGTTTAGAAGAAGGTGCAACATTGGAAGATGTGTATTTGGCTTCAGTCGAAACAGATCGTGGGGTTAAAGAACAGTTACGTCTCTATGACACTGCGGGTCTGCAAGAGGGAGTAGAGTTTCCAAAGCATTACTTCTCTGTTGCTGATGGTTTTGTTCTTGTGTATGCTGTGAACAGCCTTGAATCCTTCCAGAGAGTAGAAGTGATCAAAAAAGAGATTGACACAATCAGAGACAAAAAAGAGGTAAAAGCTTGATGCCTTAATTTCTTGGTCATGTCTGAAATAGCACAGTAATGGAAAGTTAAATTACACAGCAGTACAAAGGAAAGCAAATATTCCCTGCAGTCTTGGGCAATCTATACAGGAGAATTTCATTAATCCACACACTATATAATTGGCACAAAAGATAAATATCTTGCCCCTCTTCTCAGCAGAGATGTAATGTAGTATTTCATATGGACGGTAGTATAGTTTGTAAACTGATCAGGTGTTATACATGAAAACTAAAGTGCAGTGGATAAAACAATGTGGTCAGTTATCCTCATTTGGTTTTAGTGTCATACTTGCTCATTTATAAAATACAGTAGTTGACAATGGGTCTCCCAGACATTAGTCAATTAGCAAGGAGGATTTACTGTATTTCAGTCTGGCTGTTAAATCACTTGTGAAGAATGACTGCTGTATTTTCCCTTAGAAAGCTGCTAGTGTTAGCAGTTGATACAGTGTTGCAGCTCTTCTAGATGAACACCGCCTGCACAGTACACTTGTGTTTACCATCTTCTTAGAGTATCCATATATCCTTTAATAGTTCTCCCTGCTAAATGCCTTTAGCCAATAGGCCAGCAAAATAAAGCTCATTCAGGCAATAAAAAGGGAGGGGGTAACAGGCAGAATGTCATACCACTTCTTGCAAAACACAAGACGTACTTAATTAGTACTCAAAATGTATTCGGGGAGAGGGGAAAGGAATGGTTTGACAACGGTGCAACTTGCAGTCACAGAAGAGACAGATTAGCCATTGACCATAGTTAGTATCTTGTTTCCTGAGTGGGTTGCTGAAGTTATGTTCTTGAGGGTTATTGTGCTTTTCTAAGTCAACTCCCCCCTTTCTGGGCAGATACAGAGCTGCTTATGTGTGGGTCTGGGAGGGCCTTCGTGGTAAATAAAAGATGCTGTGATCTTGACTAAAGCATGTGGTGGAAATGGTGGCCCTATGCAATACGAGTTAAAACATCAACAATATTGACAGAACTTAAAGCAGTAATCCTGACTTACTCAGAAGGTAACGCTCTGAGAGCTCTACAGGGAGTCGTAGAAGATATTAAAGCAAGAGAACCTGTGGTAAAGTACTTACAGACAGAAGAACCCCAGGAAAGAAACTGGAGGCATACGACATCCCAGAGTCTGCTCAACAGGAAAGAATAGTTAGGCCTGGCTACAGTAGAAACTAGTGCTGGCAGGAAGAGGGGAGGGAGAGAGAGAGAGAGAGAGAGAAGAAACAACCCAAAGCAAGAGGAGAGGGTTAGAATTAAAGGGACACGGTAATAAGTTTGAGTTCAGGGCTGTACAGAGCAGGGCTTCTCCAAGGAGTATATAATGTTGAGACAAAGTCCTCTGAAAAAATTTTATTAGTCTTAGCTTTTGTACCTAGTTTATACATCTCTCCTCCAGGACAATATGCCACTTGAGTGTGATATTTAGAGGGGGTGCCTGTATGTTGTTCTGAGTAGTGTGACAGCTTGTAGTAACATCAACAGGTTATCTTATGGAGGAAGAGACTTACTCTTCTTACGCTACAATCTGGGGCTTGGAAAGCAGCAGTCTGGGCCAGGTCTTGGCTGCCTTACTGCCTTGTATTGTCATCATCTGTGTGAGGCAGGTGTCAAACTGACATTCAAGAGCATTCTACGCTCTTGTCATTGGTGTGTGCAAAGCAAATGGAGAATCTGGCTGTAGAGCTTTGCTCATCACCAGAATGGATTTTCATCGGGTGATGTGTGACGCTCCACTTTCCTGTCTCCCTCCGGTTGTGGGTAGCGATCGCCACCCACCTTGCTCCCAGCGCACTGAGTGACACAGGTTTAAACCCCACATTCTACTACTTCAAAATTCAGAACGTGTTTAGGGTGAGCCAAAATTAACGTAGAGACTAGATTGTGAACGGCCTAGCTCCTGCATGCTATTTAACAACTTTGATACAGTGATTGATATGCATATACCACCAGGACCTTTTTGCTCTTCTTTCTAGGTGACAGTTGTTGTCTTAGGAAACAAAACTGACCTCATGGAGCAAAGACAAGTGGAAACAGAAGTAGCCCAGCAATGGGCAAAGGCTGAGAAGGTGAGACTGTGGGAGGTGACAGTGACAGATCGGAAAACACTCATTGAACCTTTCACTTCACTAGCCAGTAAACTTTCCCAATCCCAGAACAAGTCAGCATTTCCTTTGCCTGGGAGGAAGAGCAAAGGCAATAACTGTGATAACTAAAAACCCCTATTCCAGGGGAGGCTATTCATCTGCTGCTGCAAGGGCCTGGTGTCTCTCTTTCTCTGCCATTTGTTTGGCATGTTTTTTCTGAGGCAGTACTGAATTCAGAATTAAAATCAGCAAAGTCATGAATGTAGCTGTCCTTCAAGTATTTTCTTGCAAAACCACAGCTGGTCACAGTCTTAAGCACAACACAAGGAAGCACTTTGTAAAAAGGTTATAATGGTCACTGGGGTGTTATAGTAGATCACTGCAGTGATGGCTGTCTATATCCCCACGCATGGCCATTTCAGGCTGCTACTGGGTCAAGTTCACAAGTGTACAATTAATAAACTACTCCATATGCAGCTGTCCAGCCTCTGTTCTTCCCCTTTTGCAATTGCAAAATCTCCTGGCTGCAACAAAGGAGAAAGGGCTTACCTATCTTCCTATGGCTAGAGAAAAGGTATGTGTGATGTAGTTTCAGCCCCTTGGTGCCTCACTTACTACCCATGGGTGGTGTGTACAGTTGAAGTTCCAGCACAGCTGAGTGAGAATACTCTAGGAGGAGACGGACAAGAACATTGCCTACCTGGCAGGGGTATGCATCAGTGTTCCTGCTGCATGTGGAAATGGTGACATTCCATGAGTGATCCTCAGATAGGTCAGGCCTCACTTGCAACTAGCGATCAAAGGCTGGAACATGATGTGGCTTTCTTGTCGTTCCCCCTAGACTCATCCAATATGGAAAGTGACCTTTACTGTTATGTGGTATACAAAACAAAAGCTTGAGGAGCAATTAAAAAAAAAAATCTCTACCCTTGGGGAGGGTAGACTAACTATGTAAATTTTGTTTCACTTTTATATTGCTGATGTTAACTGAAGCAAAACTTGGTACCTGCTCTTGGTTAGATATCTGACAGTTTCATTGACAAGAGATGGTACAAATTCCCTGTTGCTAGTACTGTAGTTCTTAAGTCAACTGGAACCCTGCAACAGCTTAGGAAATATGGGAGAGAAAGGGCTGCAGTTACTACCCTTGCCCAGCAGAGCAATCATCAAACACTGCTGCTGTCTATCTGCACAGGGAAGTTACACCTCGTATTCTGTAGAAAGACTAAGGCTGTGTACATGCTACAGCTTAGGTTGGTATCCCCCCTCCCCTCCCCCCCAAGCAACGTAAGTTACACCGACCTAAGCGCATGTGTGGACAGCATTGTGTCAGCAGAAGAGCTTCTCCCACCACCATAATTACTCCAGCCCTGTGGGCGGCAGTAGCTGTTGATGGGAGAGCTCTCTCCTGTCAGCTTAGAGCATCTGCACTACCCACCGGTGGGGCAGCTGCATTGGCTGTAAGTTCTGTAGTGTAGCCATAGCCTAAGTAAAGAACAGTGTGAAGCACTGTATCTCTTTGTGGAAGAGGCTTAATGAGTGTAGCAAGAGGCCTGCTAGTGGTGGGTATATCTAAAAGACAGCCAGCCAGCTCCGCATGGCAGATCAGCAGAAATGCTTTTGCAGATCCCTCGGCTGTAAAAAGTGGCACAGCTTCCAACAGCAGATGCATATGATACTGAACTTGACCTCACAGGACGGATCAACACGTTTCAGAATTCCGCTCTCCTAACAATTTGAACAGGACTGAGGAGTGAGATAGAGCGAAAGCAGCAGGAGAGCAAATCATTTCCAGAGAGAGAGAGAGAAGCTGCTTGGAAGCCAGATGAAAGAAACAGTGAACAGACAAGTGAAGTTCCAAACACTTCCAACTCAGTAACATTTTTGGTATTTTAAACAGTGTTGCACTGTCCTGAGTCAGCAAGACCTCAATAGTTATTTGTGGTGACACTTAAGCTGCTGAGTACTGTCACTTGAAAGTCTCAATTTTGATGGCTGCACTAATCCTTTAAATATGTACCTGCAATATCCTTCTGCTACACAATGGTATGAATAACTCAGTGCAAAGTATGAACAGCGAGTAAGGGTGGTGCAATAATACAGTTTACCAAAATGAAGCAAGTTTTTATGATGGAGTAACTTGGATTACCTGTACACTTGAACCTGTTTTTTGTCTTGCCCCGTGAGGTAGTTCTGGATCATTGTTCTTCCTGTGCCCAAGGCGTATGACAAGAGAGTCAGCAATTACATCTTCAGTTATTCCTTATGAATGAGCAAGCTCTTGCTACACTCTGCTAGAACTTTGTACATGTTTCTGTTGAAGGATTGCAGCTGACTAAGAGCTTTGGTACTAGCAGAGCAGTAGTGGAACGCCACCCACTTTAACTTCCTGCTGACCTGTACATGAATCCTCCATGTTTCTCCACACATGGAGTGTTTGCAGGAGACCACTGACTGGCTTTGGAAGTGGGATGAAGAGAGGACTAATTTGTTCTACCAGCTGTGGTTCTCCAGCTTTTACATGCCATCATTGACCTGCCCCATGTTACCAAGTTTAAGGCACTCCCATCTCCCCATAACAGAGGAAGTAGGGTGTGCCACCCCTGCTGTCATAGCAGCAGGTGGAGAACCCATGCTGAGAATGGCAGATGAGTCAATCTCAGATCAGCCACATGGGCTTGCCAGGTGTCTAACCAAATGAAGTCACTACCTAATGAAGTCACCGCATAAGTGGGTGTTGTGTATTAGAGAGCAGAGAAAGCAGGCAAGATAAATAATGCTAGCATGTCAGAAGACCTTTAAGGTTGGAGAGTACAGTGTTACCATGTGGATCTGTACCCTATCCACTTCTGCACTGCATAGCCTGAATCCTATAGAGCAGGGGTGGCCAACCTGAGCAGGAGCCTGAATGTACCAATATTCGTTGCCAAAGAGCCACAGTAATATGTCCGCAGCCCCCTGTTAGCTCCCCCACCCCACTGGCAGCTCTGCCAGTCAGCCCCCTCCCTCCCCACATCTCCCAATCAGCTGTTTTGTGGCATGCAGGAGGCTCTGGTGGGGAGGAGCGAGGGCATGGCAGGCTCAGGGGAGGGGCAGGAAGGGGTGGAGTTGGGGCAGAGCCAAGGGTTGAGCAGTGAATGCCCCCTGGCACATTGGAAAGTTGGCGCCTGTAGCTCCAGCCCCAGAGTTGGTGCCTGTACAAGGAGCCACATATTAACTTCTGAAGAGCCACATGTAGCTCCTCACAGGTTAGACACCCCTGCTACAGAGAAAGTTCTATATTGTTTGCTCCCCTTGCTGTGATCCAAATGGCCTGATCCCTTTGTCTGAAGCAGAGGAAATCAGGTGGTAGTATGGCATCAATTTGCCACTGTAGCACTGGGAGGAGTCCTCTCATTGGCAATCCACCTTCCAGGCAGTAGCTAAGTCAATGGAAGAATTCTTCTGTTGATCTAACCCTCCCTGTAGGCAGCACTAGGTTATCTTAACTACATCTCTCAGGGGTGTGGATTTTTCACACCCCTAAGCCACACAGCTATGCAGTGTAACTTTTCAGTGTAGGCCAGGCCAAACTAACAACTCAGCACTGCTCTGCTTGGGCATTAAGAACCTAGGTGGTTTCTAACTGGTCTACACTGAAAACTTCTGTCAACCTAGCTACCATCTTTCAGGGAGATGGATCTACTACATGACAGGAGAACCCCAGAGGTTGCTTTAGTGACTGGCTATACTGAAGCACTACAGCCGTACCGCTGTGGCATTTTAAGTGAGAAGGCATTAGGGATTAGACAGGGTGACTAAGTAGTAGTTGGTCACCACATAAGCAAAAGAAAACCCAACACATTACTTTTCATTTGGTCAGACTAGATACTGGCATTTTTTTTTTTTTTTTTAAAAAAAGCCCTTTTCTTTACAGGTCTGTCCTACTGCTTTTTAGCCACTCAGGGTTAGTGTCCTTTCTAAATACTACAGTCCCTTGCAGTAAAGTAGCTGATCTAGTTGTAGCCCTCAAACTGTTCGGAGTCGCTGGTGTTGTGTCCGAGTGAAACTTGCATATATGTACAGCTTTCTGCAGGATTAGTAGGTTTCTATGGGCAGTGAACTATTGCTGTTGAGAGTGTGGTTCAGTGACTACAGCAGGGAGGGGACGGACTGAGGCAAGGCTAGTGTGTTCTGTTCTTTGTTTTACCATTGATTCAATACCTGTTGAAGACTGATCACGTAGCTCCCTTACAGCTAGATTGTTGTCCCTATCCCTTACTTGGCTGTACAAGTGGCATTATCAGGAATGAGTTTTGCAACCCATCTCTTTTATGCCATTCCTTCTCCTCCTCCAACTGGAAGTACAGCTCCCTCTCTCATATTACAGCTGTGACAGACATTCCCCTCAGGGGCTCACCTGCAGCCCATCCTTAGTCTCACTGTTCCAGCTGCATTCTCTGCAGTTTTAGCTAATAGGGAGCACTTCAAAACCAGTTTTGGGAGCAGTTAACCTTAAAGTTAAGAAGTTTGGAATGTTCAGCAATGTGCTGGGGCAGGGATGCTATGTAGACCCCTTCAGGTTCTACTGTACGGAGCTGGACTATTCCTACGGTAGGCAGTGTTGTGGCGGACCTGAAGAGCTCTGTGTAAGCTCAAAAGCTTGTCTGTTTCACCAACAGAAGTTGGTCCCATAAAAGATATCGCCTCACCCACCCTGTTTCTCTATTCATGTGCTATCAGCCGGTACATACTAATGTAGAAAAAGCCTTTCAAAAATGGAAGCAGTAGGAGCTGCTTACTACAAAGCACCCATCTAGGCAAGTTTACTGCCATTGATAAATCAGTGCAGGGAACTCTTCCCTGAATGCTTTCAGACACCAGCTAGCTTACAAGGAAAAATAGTGGGTACTGAATATAGGTCTTTCATCAAAACATAGTGGGGAGAAGTTATTTCAGCAAAACAACAAAGCAGGTCACTAAGCGGGAGTCATTTTTTTACATATTTTTATTAGCACAGTAACAAATGCAGACTTAAGTAGCCCACAACATACAACCAATCCACTGAGTGACTCCTATTCCACGCCTTACATTTAAACAGCTTAAGGTATTTCACTACAGGTTGCCATAAATCCTGATTAAAACCTTTATTCTTTTCACAAAGGTAGATTGGCATATAAAATAATACATTAACTACTTCTCATTTCCTATATGAGGCCATATATCCACTCCTCCATATTACATATCATGAGATGAGTCTTTAAAAAGGAATTGTTAAATACCAGCACACCCTCCCAAGGGGAAAAAAAATCCCAACATCTTTTACAAAAACAAAAAGAAAAAACCCAGTGTGTAGA